ATAAACACGTCCACTTGTCGACACGGTCGATTTCTCGGACAACCGCCGACAGCCTGTATAACATTGTTTGAATACCACTCAGGAGTTTTCGTTGCGATACAGCGTTTCCGGGTGGCTGAGTGCACCTCGAATACACACGGCCCTGGAACTTCTCCACACGCGCAAAGAAGTGCTTACAGTGATGTTAGACTTACTTTTGTTCGTTCAAGATCGTGCTGCCCGTACCGCGGTATACACCCTTCGATCGCATCGTTTTGTCCAACTTGATGTCAATCCTGAACGATGGATGTGCAGTTTGATTTGCACAGAAAAGCGCCCGACGCGAACATGACGTCCATTGCCAAACAAATTATGACCTCCATCGGACTGAATAAAAAGCATCGGAGGATGTGGTATGTCACGAAACTGCCGAGGCCTAAATTTGTGGGGATGGTGTTTCGTGCCAGTCTGAGGTGAAATCACGACCCTCAGATCGAGAGGAACACGCCCGATCAGCTGGTAACACTCAGGACGGTCTACCGCAAATGACATGGTCGGCCTAACTGTGGTTTGTTCGGAGTCATCGTCAGCTGACCTGGTAGAGAGCACCCTGATCATGCTAGCCATCTCACGATTGTCAACAACAACTAGGTGGATCATCGCGGCGATTTGCAATCTGAACCGCCTTTTCTAAAGCCTGCGTTGCGATAGAATCTGTTGAACTTGTCAAACCCGGTATTTCTTACCACTTCCAAGGCTTTTGTTGTATGGTAATAAGAGTTTTGGACGCTGCGCACTGCCATGTCCACTCTCCCTAGAAGATGACCGACTGGGAAGAATCCCATACGTCGTTTCCCATCCCAGTACTTATGGGTCTGTCCTTTCGAACCGAGGAACGTTACCGGCGCATCGCGATGTGATAGGATGCGATCCACTTCCCTACGTGCGCCGAGATCGTTGTAACGGACGCGAAATGAGTTGTGGCTTGTCGGTTGTTTATTCCGAACCGCCAAGTCCTCGAGTGTTTCTTTTACCTCTCCCCATCACGAATCCATCAAGCACATCCCAGAGAATCGCCAAAAAGTTCACGTATCGCATCTCTTCCTCGACTTTGCGAGCCGAGGCACCCCAAATGGCGTGGTGCAACGTCCTTTAGATGTTGGGGCCGAGGGCTGGCGATGCCATTGACGAGTTTCACGCCTGACAACGATGTGTAGCTGTCACTCGAAGTTGGTCGATATATAATCTGAATGCTCAAAGAGTTAATAGACACCAGCAGAGATCACTTCAAGCGAATCACTCATTGACAGTCGTACCTTCACATCCTTTCGTTAACATTCATTTTTGAGATCCATTCCCATCATTACTCTGCCCGTTCTCTCATTTAGAACCACCATGAAGGTCTCATCTACTATCAGCTTTCTCGCTATCTTTGCGTCAGTCTCGGCTTTCCCGACCTATGTCGCTCGCCAGGCCTGGGTGCCCAGGAACTGGACAGCTCCAGGTCCTACCGATGGTTAGTTGCATCATCTAAACAGACATCTCTGGTAGTGATAGGAGCATCACACTGATCGATGACTCAACAGCACGCGGCCCATGCCCCGGCATGAACACTCTCGCCAACCACGGCTACCTGCCGCACGACGGACGAAGAATCACCCGCGACATCCTCGCCGATGCCATGCTCGAAGGCTTCAACATCGCTAAAAGCGACGCCATCATCCTCTTCTCGCAAGCCGTACGCACCAACCCAGAGCCATTCGCACGTACCTTCGACCTCGACACGCTGGGCCGTGAGGGCGTTCTAGAGCACGACTTCAGCCTCAGTCGCTCTGACCGCTTCTTCGCCAACCCCCTCCCCTTCAACGAAACCGTCTGGGCGGAGACAGCCTCCTTCTTCACAACACCAGAGATTACCGTTCAGCAGCTCGCTGATGCCCGCATGGCACGCCTTGAGACATCTAAGAAAACTAACCCGGAGCACAAGGCGTCGTTGTTGGCGGATGGGTTTAGTTGGGGTGAATGCGCTTCGTTCTTTGAGATTATGGCGGATGGGACTACGAGTACTGTTAGGAAGGACTTTATTGAGTACTGGCTGCGTAAGCTTCACTATCTTTTGAGCGGATGAATGAAGATTGGTTTGCTAACGCGCATGGTGATATAGGAAATGAGCGCATGCCTACTGAGATCGGCTGGACTCGCCGCCCGACTGTTATGCAGACTAGCGAGCGTACTAAGTTCACGCGTGCGCTGATGGAGGCTGCGGGCCAGGGCTCTGGCTTCTCATTGTTGCAGTGAGCGGCCCTTGCGGGGTGTAGCTGGGTCTCACTTGCTGGAAGTTAAGAGGAAAGGAGGAAGAAGTACGGTGTACAAGCGCAAGACGCTCGAGGAATTTCGTTACGTACATATCATAGGTTATAGACGTGCGGACTCCAACTTTATCCAATCACGTAAGATTTTTTCCTGCACGCTTAAGAACCACTGGGTCCGGGGCATATGTCAAAGTTACTCTAAATCAGCTACGCAGCCCTGGGATCTACAGACTCTTTCTGAATTACAAGACTCTCGATTCGTTCACCAGTGACATGCTTGGTCGGACTTAGTCATCAGCCTCATATCTCTGCCTAAACCGCTTCTTTCCGCGTTCTCTTCGGTCAATCTCACTTCTTCTATCCCAAGCTTAACGGCATCTAAGTGAATCTAATAGGAATCTGCACTCGCATCCTATCAATCAGAATTACGTCACAATACCACCGGTCGACTGCGACACGAATTCATGCAACGCTTCACGCTAGCGTATCGCAGCCTGGGACGATCCGCTGGGCTCAATGGAAGCTCTCCAAGCGCCGTTTTCTACGACCTCTGAACCATCACCATATAGACCTATTGACTCAGACGGAGGAGAGGTTCGCTTAGTCGAATTGTTGCCAGGTGGTTATGGCGACCCCATCAGCCTGTCACTATGTACCATCAAGCTGAAAGAGCAGGTGAATGGCCAGGCGGCATACTATGAACACTCTGATAGCACGAACTCGGATGATGAGGAATCACATGAGGAAAATTTCGAAAAGGGCGGATCAAATGCACCGGTTCCGCTTAAGCAGGGTTTCTCGCGCCGATCTGGATATGAAGCTCTCTCGTATGCATGGGGAACAGCGATTAGCCCACTGAAAGTACGGGTTGATGGGACCGATATGTCGATCACCGAGAACCTCGATCAGGGCTTGAGGCGTCTCCGATTCGATGATCAACCCCGTGTGCTTTGGATCGATGCAATATGCATCAACCAGCGAGACCCAGAAGAGAGGTCCCATCAAGTTCAGCACATGGCTACGATCTATAGGTCAGCGAAGCAAGTGTTGATATGGCTTGGCGAGTGGCCAATCTCTACATGTTGTTTGCGCCCCGCGGACTGCCAAATGCTTTGGAGAAACACAGTAGGAGGAAATGACTGGAGAGAAGTGCCCTCATTACCACGCCACATATATCAACATTTCACGGAGATCGTGGCACTGCCCTGGTTCAGTCGCCTCTGGATCATTCAGGAGTTGGCATTAGCGAAAACAGACCCTGCCATAATGATCGGCAGCTTGACTATCAGATGGTCAGACTTTGCCTCTGCAATCGACGGTATAGTTTGTTACCAATGGCTCCACGTGCCAAAAGATCTTCGGGGACGACTTGAGTCGGGTGTGACGCAGTTGTTGTCATTGGATGTGATCAGGTGTCTTTCCAACCGCCATCGAGGCTTGTATTGGTGCCTCTTCAATTCGCAGTGTGCCGTAGCTACAGATCCACGCGACAAGATATATGGACTGCTGGGGCTATGCGACTTCCAAGTCACCGAACCAATCGCGGCCGATTACTCGAAACCGCTGCAACAAGTCTTAGCTGAAGCTACTCTTGTCTCGCTCTTGGAAGAGTCTGCGTTTACTTATCTCGCCCCTAACGCGTTCTCTCCCGACACATTTGATCAAGATCGCTATGGGTCATCTTGGGTGATAGATTTCTCTTCGATGCAAGATTGGCATGGATATTTCATAGAGGTCAGTCCACGATTGAGCTTGGAAGAGCGCCAGAGGCGGCGGAACTCAGCATACCTATCAGTACACGGCCTGACCCTTCACGTATATGGTAGGTATGTTGGTACTGTCTGCGGTGTCCACACCCGCATATTGACGGATCGTCCAACGCACAAGACTCGTTCTCGGATACCAGACACTGAGATCTACGACTTCTACCACAATTTTTTGAAAGCACGAGGCATAACTCCGCGTACTCTTCTGGACACAATAAGAAGGAAGAGCACCAAAGACGAAGACGTTGATCAGTTCGCCAGTCTTCTCTCTAGTAGCAGAGAGGTCTTCTGCGCAGATTCAGCAGACCACGGCATACTATGCCGTGATTTACTCGTTACTAGGGAAGGACATCTTGGCATCTCATGGCATCCAAATCGTAGCCTTGTACCTGTCGGCGCAATTCTGGTCTATTTATTTGGGGCTGAAGTACCTTTCATCTTAGCACCAGTACCAGGAACTCAATCATACGAGATGATTAATGTCGCTTATGTGCCGGGATATGGCAATCGTATCTTGGAAGATCCATACCAGCACAGCTTGCGGGCGACTTGGATTGACTTCGCCGCAGAGGGTGGACAGGAGTACGCAATCGTGTAGTCTCTTCTACGGATCTGATGTCGAATACCAACAACGATCACATTAAACGCAGACTTCTGGAACAGTCGCGACCAGAGACTAGACTCAAGGCAACAACGATAGTGGCGACGAGGTCCTACAAAACGTGCGGTCGCGGATATCGCTAGTAGCCACCTTTAATGCAGCCACGCTTTCTCACTACATTTGTTTTGATGGAAGGGATGAGAAAGAGGTTGCTAGAATTGTGAGAACGAGTAATGTATGGTTATGGTTGCATTATTCCCACATGAAATACATGTCACACAACCGCAACCCCCCCGAACAACGTTCCTGACCTCGAGCCCAACGTGCATCCAAGTAATTCTTCTAATGTTCGTTGCGATCAGGTTGATCGTAACGATTCCCAAGCCTATACGTTAAGTCCGCTTCAGTCAAACCCTCGTGCACTGCCTTGTTGTACGCCTTGAAAGCCGCAGACAATTGCACTACTTGACTCAAGTGCGCTTCTGTAAGTTGGGGGACGCATTCCGCCTCCGGGCGACCCTTTTGCTTTGCTGTTTTTGAGGCAGCGATTGCGAGAGCAACAGCGGTCTGGAAAGCTGATGAAGGTCAGTATAAGCTGTCAAACATTGCCCGAAGCTGGTACCCACCGTTCCGTATCTCTCGCCCGTTCCAGTGGAGACTTTTGACCTCTTCGCTTTTTCGTACGTATTGCTTAGCGTCGTAGTCGTAGTCGATCCTCGGTCCTCCATCCCTATGGTTTTCTTTGAGTCGTCTGAAGAAGGAATCCCAGATTTGTTCTCGAGCTTGATCGTCTAACGGCTCGTAGCCGATAGCCACATGTATTCGTGACATGAATGCTTCATCAAAGTGTCCAACCCGATTTGTTGTGAAGAATATGATTCCTTCAAAGTAATCGAGCGCACGCAGGAAGACTGTACCACTGTTAACAGGAGCTGATAATGCTTGGGCCTGGCTAGCTCTTACTGGAAACGATGCCGTTACGTCTTAGATCCTCGGAAGACCGTTGCGCGAGATAGATGTCTGCTTCATCTAACAACACTATTGCATCCCAGGCTGCCGCGTTCTTGAAAAACCGTAGAAGGTTTCGCTCTAGTTCGATAGGTTCGTGCCCCAGATCAGCTGCCGTTATACTAAGCAGCGGTCGTTTTGTGTATTCTGCGACAGATTCTAGATGATTTTAGAAAAGATCTAGAGTAGAATGATAACCGTACCAGCTGTGAGTGTCTTTCCAGTCCCCGGTGGTCCATGCAAGAGAAATATTTGACCTTCACCCTTTCCGCGTATGAAGTCAACACCCATGAGCTCGGCTTGGCTATCGCTATCGGTGTATGTTTTGACGATGGCTTTAATCATCTCTTTGTTCTTCTCTGGGCGCATAACGAGCTCGTCGATTGCATTTTCTGCAAGAGTGGGCTCTCTTAGACTGTTTACATCGAGAATGTCTACGACTGTCAACTCTCGCCAATGCTAAGAAGCAGCTGGAGTACATACCGTATGTTCGATCCTTGAGAATGAATCCGAACATGTGTGACATGCACAATAGTGCCTGATGCTCGGATAATCCTTTTACCTGACTGGGATCAAGGGTATCGTAGTCGCTGAAAGTGAGAGATATAGTGGCTCCCTTTGTACTATCGACAAGCTTGCATTCGAAGCACTCGCAACGAGGAACCCTGGCTCGTGATCCCGGGACTACCGGCCCTATCCCTTGATGCTGAAATGGTTTACCATATAATGGCGGTGGCAAAGAGCTATAAGGGTTTCTAGGAACTTGATGAAGGTCATCAGTGGTAGAAAGATCCCATTCACTTGCACTGGAGAACTCGCTAAGTGTCCAGGGTAATGACTGGTGTTCCACGACTACTCGGGCCCGATGGTACTTGATTCTCTAGTTAGACATCGTCTTGGATCAGCAATACATGTTACGGACCTTTTTTGTGCCCTGTTTCAATCCTGACCCCGAGTATTCCAGAAAAGTAGGCCCTTTCGCATAGCAAAAGAACTTCTCTCCTCTCTCGATCAGCGTATGCCGTAGACTACCCCCATCCAGCTGGTCCCGGAAATATGTCGGAAAGATGGGCAAGGACATTATTTCGCGTTCTCCATCAAACACAGGTACGCTTATGACCTTTGACTTCCTCTTGATGACCTTGCCGTCGAAGACAAGGTACCACACATTAATTTCGTAGTCACTTGCTCTCACCGTCCGCGAACTGTAATCCATTCCACCGCATACCAGTTCCAACACACAAGCATTCAGTTGTCCATATTCTGTGATGTAGACGTCAGATCCAGGCTTCAATAGTAGCCATAAACCCGCAAACGTCGTAGTAGGCACTTTTTGGGCCCACAGGTTCTTGACTGACTGAAGCTGTACAGTAGGTTCTTTGTCCAGGTAGTCGAGTAAGACGCTAATATGACGGTCGCATTTGTCATTGTCTTCCAAAGTGTGGTTCGCTCGCGCGCTGCTTGAACCGTTTTGATACTCAAGTAATTCTGCCCGGTGGTGATAGAGCTCCTTGAACGGGAATGCAAACATACCGTCTACTAGCGGTTCAGTATCATTCGACGAGTATTTGATAAGGGATCGTAAGGCGTTGAGCAGGAGCGAGGACCTGATGTGGAGCCTCTTTGGTTGGACAGTATCGCCAGGACCCAGAATAAGGCTTGAATCGGAAATATTACCACCGTCTTTCTTCTTGGCACCTGTCGACTTTCCTAAGATAATGTGATGGATTTCCTCAAGGACATGGTCAGACTCGCCATTCAGATTTGAACTTTGAATCACTACAGGTGCGTCCCAAGTTTTGCTGTACAGGAAGTTTTCCGGTTCTCCAGTGTATTGCGATTTGGAGTGGAAATCGATCCGGTACTTCACTACTATCATTGCCGAATCCATTGTAGCCTGTGCATCGGCCGTTTTCTGCTTAGCCGCAGTAATTGGAGGCGATAGAGGCACTCCAAAACGACCAGGTGGGTGCAAGCTACCATATTCGGAGTCTGAGTCAGTATCTTCTTCCTGCGAGTCTAGTCTGATCTCCACACATTGCCAGGGCCTAACGCTTAGGTTCCAGTGCTCGGGCAGGAACAGCAATCTACCTTCCATTTGCCGAAGCCTGAATGTGCCTTCATCTATGTTCTGCTTTGCGTCTTCGTTAGACCCGTATGTGAGCTTGATGATCTCTTTCATCCACTAACAATGGCAGCGAATTAGCTAGGTCCTTCCGCTTTGGTATGTGATTCACATACAGTCCATTTCTCACATAACGCCCATGGAACATCGAACGACTCACCCCGATAATGGGACAAAGTTAGGACCCGGGGATCCCGAAGCTCTAGAGAGCTGGCGCTAGAGGGTTTTGAGCCAAGAGGGTTGAGGTTGTGTTTTTCAAGCTCATGAATTTCGTCAATCTCACAGAGGGCTATGATGAGATCATCACCCTGTTTCCTGATGCGAAGTTTATGATCCTTTGGTGATTCATCTGCTTGCCTGTCAGTCAAACATCGCCACGATAACGACGCTAGTTCTAAAATGGCATACTCAATTCTTGGAGCTTTTCACTGTCGCGATGAACTATTGCATTGCAAAACGGCGGTGACTCGTTCGTCTCGCCTCTGGCTGGCTCGGCTGTGCAAATCGTGGTGTTTTCAGCCTCACGACCCTCCACCCCCAGAGTGGGGTCGAGGAGCGTACTGGTGGACATCGATGATCGGCAAGGCAAGAAACAGGCAAGTGGGAAACGCAGATGCTAGAACAATAGATGGAACGCAAGAACAAATCGGGGATGTTGAGGGTGTTATCAACGACGAGCGGTGGCATAAGCATGATAAGCCTGTTGAGGCTGCGCAGCGACTTGACCGGAAACTTGGCATGCATAGAGCGCAGGAAATGCTTGGTGGGCAGTAGAGATTGTTGCGTCACGAGGCATGCCACGCGAGCGGCTGTGCAAAAGCGCCACAAGTCTACGCGAGCCTGCCGCAGAATGCGCTTTAAGAAGCGCGATTAGCTGAAATACCACATGACTCCCCACAAAAATCAACCCTGCCGTGTACCAAAGTAAAGTCTCAAAGACCAAGCCCAACCCAGGACCAGACCGCAGTCTGCGTCAAAGGCGCACTCTATTCTTTCTTGTCTTCGACATCTTGGATGATCGATAGATTCCCAGATCAGAAATCCTCTGCTCGCTTAGGTAGGTATAGGTTCAGTGACCAATCAAATAAGTGCCCGCATAGCCTCATTCAATCTTACACTTTTGATACTCAACTCGATTAAACCCGCGAATAAATTGGTCTGGATGGACGAGTCAAAGATGAGATACGCCGTCGTCCAGCGACGGTGGACGGACGAGCTTACACGGTCTGAGACTACTTCCCGTGGGTCAGGGTTCGTTCAGGATGGGAACAGCATCAAGTATGTGGAGGAAGAGCGGTCAAAGCAGCTGTTTGAGTGCCCAAGTCAGGATGATGAGAGGTCAGTCGCTCCTTCCCGTACCTTTGCGAACATTTGGAACTTACCAGAGTAGTTTTGAGGTGGTAAACATCGCCAGAGAAGAACTTGGGAAGATGATTGCAAGGTTCGATACGGATACAAAGTTGTCTTCTTGGCCAAAATTAGGATCGTCGAAGAAGTCTGCAAAAGCCAAAGTAGCCGAAGTGCTTCACAAATCAGCAGAGAACGAAATCGATGACCTCAAAAGTTCAGTTGAGAACCTTGGGTTGGAGTGGAAGCAGAAACACGGTCCAGTGCGCCTCATGTTCTGACAAACTATGATGCTCTACTGTCGCTGACCATTGGGAAGGTTTTTGCCGCGTTCAAGAAGATTTGCAGTACGCTCGACGACCACAAAAGCATTCTCAAGGTCTTCCCGTCTCAAAATAATTATACTTCCCCTCTGGTCGGCAGTGTAACGATCCTGATGAAAGTAAGAACCCTGCTTCCAGGAACGCACGTCATAGGTTCGGCGACTGACATTAACAGGCCGCCCAATCCCACAGCGAAATCTCGCTCAAACTGTCCACATCGATTGCAGAAATATCAGAGAAGGTTTCGACATGCTCAAACGTGCTATCGATAGTGAAGACAGCTCGAGCCAGAAAAAAGCTCGCTGCCATCTATGCACGTATGTTCGACTTTTATCGGACCGCGATAAGCTGGTACATGCAATCGAGCTTTGGTCGTTTAATGCGCAGCTTCAACGAGAATCTTGTGAAAGAGTTTGAGGATGCAAAGAAAGACCTCGAGGTCGATGTTGTCGAGCTTTACCGAGAGGTTGCAATTGCCAATACCGCGATAGTCGCTATGGTCAACGGCCGGGTCAGGATTCTTGAAGATGAACTGCACCGGCAGCGACGTAACTACGAAGTACGTGACATGCTGGCTGGCCAACGAATGGAGAGGATGATGCAAGAGACATGGACAAGCGTAGAGCAACTCCAGAGCATGATAACTTCCGCAACCTTTTCCAAGCCAGCAGAGATTGCGCAAAATCTCGTCGTGAATCCTCCAGCTTGTGGTTCGATATATAATCCCCGAAATAACCTCGACGCTTTCATCATCGATAAGGAGCAACCGGGCTTCTCAGGCAAAGCAAACCTCTGGGTTTCCGAAAAAGATATCATACACAAACTTCGTCTGTGGATGACAGATAACACGAAATCGCGGACATTGTGGATATCAAGCCCGTATAAGCCAGGTGTAGCCGTCCCGAGCTGTCGAGCAGCAGTCATGGCGACGATAGCTGCAGCATGGCAAGCGGAAACTCCGATCATCTCGTACTCCTGCAGCCGACCATCCAGGAATCAGTTGCGTCCCGGTATGAACGTCGAGCAAGTTGGAATGATCAGCCTGGTATACGGCTTCATCCGTCAGCTTTCACAATTTAGCAGAGTCGACGAGGAGTTCGAGAATCACGATGACGACTTCGCTGCTCTCAACGGAGAAGTCTCGTCCTGGGATGCCAGTCTAAGACTTCTGAAGATGCTCTTAAGAAAGGCGCCCGTCGTTACGTTTTGCGTGATCGAAAACCTGAATGATTTGGAATGGAATAACGGTGGAGTCTGGTGCAAGCAGCTGCTTGATGTTTTGAGAGAGTGCCAGCAGGAGACAGGGGTTTCCTTCAATATTCTCTACTCGACAACTGGCCAATCGCGAGTGCTGCCTGCATACGTCAGCGTTAGGGATCGGCACATGACGTCAAGTCGAACATGACCTCATTCTGGAGTATGAACAGCCTTGCTCATCGAGTTCTCAATGCGTACCTCAACGAGCACATGCAACCACCTTATACAAGAAAAAAATTAAATAGGTCTGCAGACTACGTTGACCTAAAACCTTGCAAAGTAGGTAACCCAACGTCAACGTAGGCTCTAGGCTGTTTAGTTTTTCCCTAGGTTGGCGTGCATGCAACGAGCGAAGTAATCAGAAGCGTGTATACTTCAATAAAGGGTATCACATGCCATTCACAGTCTACCATCTCCATACTCTCCCCACCTCATGCCATGCAAAGCTGAACTTTTCTTTCCCACACCCTTTCCAATGCCAAACGCCATATAAATGCATACGAAAACATCTGCACGTGCAACTCATCGGCCAGACCTCATCAACCAGATTACAACATCTACCATCCCTGCCTCCTCCCCTTCTCTCCCGCACTCCTCGCCTTCTTATTAACCCTCTTAACATCATGCCTCCTCCTCTTCTCCTTCATCACCTTCTCAGGATCCAACACAGCATCCACCTTCCTCTTGCGCCTCCTCTCTTCTCTCCGCTCCCGAACACCTCTTTGCACCTCCGCCATAACATTAAGATACTCCTGCGTACCCAACCGCTTCTGCAGCGTATTCATGACCTCGCGCGCCTTATCTGATAGCGCTTTGTATGGGTCTACAGGCGGGTTGTTGTTGGAAGTGGGAGCGAGCGCGGCACTTGCTTTGGGGAAGGTGGCGTCGGTGGATGTTAGGGTGGAGAGTGTGGTGAGGAGGTGGGGGAGGGATGTTGAAAGCGGTTCTAGAGGGAATTTCGCGGCGATGGTGTCGAAGAGGGACATTATGGTTGTTTTTGCGTTCATGGTGCTCTTATCTTTGCGGACGATGCCTGAGAGGCGGATCATGAGGCGGTGGATCGCTGTTGGTGGAGTGTCGTCTGTTTTCTCGGGCTTCTTCGATTCGGGTGGAGGGGAGAAGCCGGAGAAATCTTCTTCGTCGTCTAGGGCTGATGCGGCGCCGTTTGTTGACGCTGCTGTTTCTCCCGCTTCTTCTTCGTCGTCGGTCTTCTGCCAGTGCCATTTGGCGCCGTTGACAGCGAGGCAGCGCGCGAGGAAAGCGATATTCTTGACGCTCTGCATGCAGAGCTGTTCTGAGACCTCGGGGTTGAGCAGATTCCTCAGGAAGGCATTGCAGAGCTGCGTCATGCTCTGCTCTGTTAGTTGCAGACCACCTGACCCCTCCAGAGGTAGAGCACCAAGACCAGTGTCCTTGTTCGAGACACCCAGATGGGCAAAGTATGTACCCAACAGCTCCGCAGCCTTGAGCTTGACCCATAAGTGCGGGTAAGTTGCGCTTGCTTGTACTGCGGTCCATAGGCTATCCTTGTTCGATGCAAACATGGTGTCGGTGTACTTCTTGCAGATCTTGGAGAGTAGAGTGAGAGAGTAGTACAACAACTCCCAGTCGTCTTCATCGCGTCGTGTCAAACACTCATCAATCGTTGCGTCGAGCCGATCAAGAACGTATGCTACCTCCTTTGGCTCTTCAACCTCTTCCATTGCTTCGAAGTAGAACCCAAAGCACTGAATGCCCAGACGCTTAAGACCAACGTTGTCGTCCTGCTCCAGCCAATTCTTAAGGTCAGACGCGAAACTTTGCAACCGCTTGTCGCTCGCGTGTTGGAACAGCCTCTTGATGAGCAAGCTAGCCATTTCTCGGCATTTGGGTGAGTCGTCGTTTGCCACAGTGTTGATCAGCGGGAGGAACATGATGCCGTGGTACTCATACTGTGCCTTCTCCGGGAAGCGAGGCAGCGCCTTTCCGATGATGAGATCGAGCGCCTCCATGACTGACTGCCTTCCTTCCACATGCTCGTAGCGGAGGTTCTTGAGGAGGAATTCGACCTGCTTCTTGAAGCGCTTCTCGCTCTGCGTGTAGGAGGTCAAGAATTGGAAGTAGTGCGAACGGGCGATGTCGCGCGCGGATTTCGTCTGATTGGTGATCATCATTTCGGCTACCTTGTCCATGGCTTCGTACATCTCAGGAACGTCAATGTGACGGTTCATGACAGCCTTGAGGAAACCGAAAGTGACACCTGATCGATCTGGCTCGTCCAAGTCGGGAATCATGCGCTTGAGGAGGTGACCGACGTCTCTTTCCTTGATCGGCACGTTTGGTCGCTCGCGTAGCACCGCTGAAACTAACTTCAGTGAGGCTTGCGCAAGCTCCGTGTTGGACGACAGTGCGCCCTTGATGGCGCGCATCGCTTCGTCGATGTACACGGGGCAGTTGGTGTCCAGCTCCGTCATCGGTACCTTGATGATGGTTGTGAGAAGGCGAACAGCCGAGACCTGCACCTCTTCTTGTCCTTGTACCATGGCGTCGCCAATGATCGGAAGGAAGCCAGCCAGATTCTGGGGAGTTTGGAGGTCTTCATGCTTGCGGAGCACAGTCCGAAGAATATCCATACCGAAGCGAATCATCTTAAACAGGTAAGAATTGGTGCTAAGTCTTGCGCCAGACTTGGCTGCTCCCCGGTTGTTGATCAGATACCGCTTGTTCTTGGGGTCGATCTTGGCCTTCTTTTCGGTGGTCGTGGTTGCAGCATATGCCTCCTGGATGAGCTCATAACAGAATACCAAGATATCCCTGTTGTTCACCGTGGGGTTCTGAAGAACACCGAGTCCGATACGTCGCAAAAGCTCGTCGATCTTCTGAACCATCCTTGCATTGAGCTTCTCGATCAGAAGAGATCTAATCGGAAGGACGAGCTTGATGATATGCGCGGGAGTGGCACACCGTGCTACGATATCCATGGAATCGAAAGATTTGCTGCTCTTCACCTCCTTCATCTTAGAAATGTATTCTTCAGCATCCTTCTCCTGACCTGCAGCACCGAAAGTGTCGTCCATGATCTAAATACTCAGTTAGTTTGTTCCCAAAGTGGATGCATTCTGTCGGGATACTTACAACATCGACTAGCTCCACCAGACAGTAATCAAGATCACCTGGGTTCGTTTGGTCGGCGAGCTTGACCAGAATGGTATGCAAAGTGAACGACAGAACGTGGAGCTGGTAACCGCGTTGAAGCGCAGTCCGCAAAGCCTTCAGGATGAAGCCCACGTAGCCAGGGCCCAGTATCGTAGCAATATCACTGAGGGTGTTTCTCGACATGTCGCGTGCCTCTTGCGCGCGACTTTTCAAGATGTAGCAGATATCCAGAAGAACGCCCGGTAACCGTGTCTCGATCTCGAGCGGCGGCAGAATCAGAAGAATCTTGGCAATCGCGGTTGCAATCGGCACTCGTAAACTGACGGTAGCCTCATCCTTCTTGTGTAGGAAGTTGGTCAAGTCGGGCAGGAAGTTGCTGATTAGATCGGTGCTAAGTTTGTCCTGTTGTGGGAGCGTCTTGGCCAAAGTCGATAAGGGCTGGTCAATCTCCATAGCGTCCCCAGCTTCCTCTGTCTCGGATGCGCCTTGAGAGGAGGGCTTGGCAATGTAAGCTTTGGCACGTCCTGCTTGGTTCAAACCGTCCATGAGACCTGCGATCAATCGGATAATAGGCTTTTGCAGGTCTTCCTTGCTAGTCAGGTAGCCGATGTAGCGTTTGAGTAGGGAACGGAACTGCGGCCATTCAAGACTCTCGGTCAAAGATGTGAGTGTCTTGATCGTCTCTCCCAGAAGGCTGTCAGCAGCCTCGTCGTCACCCTTGTTGAAGACGAAGTGCTCGAGGAGTGGTATCAGAATGTGATAGATGTTGGTACCTCGCAGGTGGGACGCGTGGGTGGCCAGACGGCGCAAGGCTCGCAGTCGTCGATGACCCTGGATGTGCAAAATGTTGCCAAAGAACGATGCCTCGTCATCTTCTGAGAGGAGGACATGCAGATCGGCTACGGGAGTCCAGTCTGAATGTGTCTTGACCAGATGTTCCAGGACGGCAAGGTATTCGACCCGCACAAGCTCCGAATTCTCCCGCACACCATTCTGAATCCCAGGTAGGACTGCAGCTGACACAAATTCTTTGAACTGTTCGCTCGACGCGACCTCGCTGAAACGACGTAGAGATAGTGATGCATTGACTCGAATGCTGAGCTCGTCGTTATCCTTGATGAGATACAGCATGTTGTAAACTAGAGGCTTCCACTGTGTGAGCGTGTATGATCGATAACTTTCTTCGTTTATGGCATTGAAAGCTTGCGAGCGGCGTTCAAAGTCTGGTTCATCGAGCCGTCCAGTAGCGAATGAATTCAGATCATGGCACAGCTTTGCGATCACTGTAAGATCACCGTTGGTGTCGGAGAGATCCTGGAGAACATCGCAAAGCAAGCTTCGGGCTATTCGATCCTGAACGAAACTGAACATAGGTGAGATAGCATCGTAGGTTGTGTCAAAGAGTTCAAGCAAACTCTGGCTATCACATCGCTGGATGAATTCATGAAGGATCTTGAGTAAGCCAAGCTTAGTACGTGGGTTGACGCGCTTTGAAGGCTGGCGAAGCAAGAAAGTTGCGATCTCGATCATGCTCCGGGATTCCGTGGCACCGACTACATGAGGCGCTAGGTCTGCCACCGTTTGTACACCGGCTTCGAGCACTTCTTTACCAGGGCTTTGGCGAAGTAGTTGGCCAACTCGGTGGAGTATCGCAGTTGAGTATGGCTGGATGATATCGGTATGGATACGATTCCTGAGGAGTTTCGACTCTGTCGTCGGTGTCTCATCTTCTTCGGTGACAAGAGAAACGATGCTTCGAACGATGTCGTTCAAGACAAAGCACTTGACCTCGTCCTTAGCCGATGGTACCTCCAGGCAGTCTATGATCTTGTGCAGAATGGCAGGGTTGAGTTCTACCAAGAACGGAGCTGTCCGGCTTGATTTAGACCATGCCGCGAACAATCTGAGTAGTCCTGAGACGGACTGGGCTGTCTCAATGGGCAGCTGCTCGAGCCTGGGCTCGACCATCTCCTTGACTAGAACACCTGCGTACGGTTTCCAGTCAAAGTCCGGACAGTTTTCAAACAGCCTACCCAGAATCTGCAGCGCCCGCTGCCGGATAGTCTTCAGTAAGGAGGTCTTTGTCGCTCGACCTTCGTCATCTTCGCTTTCGTTTGGTCTTGACAGTTCTCGCGATGCCTTGGTGGCTGAGTATAGAATGGGATCCACGACGATTCCGGCAAAGGGCGCGAATGTAGTTGCAAACGTACTCAGCAAGTCATCAAGTAGGTTCAACATTCCCACCTGCTTTCGCGGGTCTACCAGCTCTTTCTGCAGCAGCTCTTCATCGACCGCGGAGTCTTTGAGAATTGAGATGCGGCCTAAAGGCCCGAACGCGATCTGCAAGAATTGGCGTATAGCGTCATCTCCGAATCTGGTCTTCAGGCCGACGAAAACGGCCTTCCTCTTCGACTCCAGACCTCGCTTGCCAGCTATGACTTTTCCGTATAAAAGTCGCAGAACAATCGGAAGTACTTGATCGACGTCGGTATCCTGCAGCTTTCCTTCGCTGAGGAAGATTGGTAGCTCGTCACGGAATCGCTCATCATCAAGCAAATTGAGCAGTTGTTCTTGGTGTTTGACAATGACTGGATCTTTCCACGTGAGAAGTGCCTTCAGAGCGGCTTTCTGGATCTCGATGTCTCCGTTTCCTAGTAAAGCAAGCAGAGCTTCGCGAACCTCGTCCGTACGGTACAGGACCTTGGGGTTGTTGAACTTGGCGAAGATTGAAAGCATTGCTTTCTGGTCTTTCCTTGACCAGCGATCCTGCAGAATGGCATCCGCATCTTGTTCGGGATTGGGCGCATTTTCAGGCTCCGGTGTGGCCTGGTTCAGTGCCCAGTTTAGCAGCACGGGGACAAGAAGGCGAGAACGCTTCTCCGCGATGTGTGGCAGGGAATCCAATACTCGGAGAGCTTGTGTCCTGCTGAAAGGATTGTGGAAAGGTACTTCGGCATGATTGTCCTTGAATAAAGTCTCCAGCTGTTCCTTAGTACTGTCAGCCTGTGACTGTACATTGGCCACACGCCCTTGCAGCTCCATGAGGTTGGTGCACTCGAAGTCTGTGGCGTAGGGTCGCTGTGTGGATTCCGGTTGAGATGCGTTCGTGAAACTTTCGCTGGCATCGGAAGCACTCAGCCATTCGAAAACATGTTGGGTGACGAAACCCTCGCCTTCTTTTGTCTGGCAAATGGCCTTCAAAGCTGCGCAACTGTCGTTCCAGACCGAAGCTAGTTTGACGTGTAGCAATCCTAGACAGAAAGCGGGTATGGCCTCCCCTATCCATTCATTAGAACATACACCTGGGTACAGTTTCGCGATTTGCCCTATGCGCATCGCAATGGATCTCTGAGTCTCTAGATTCAGTGGTGTCTGCTCGATCAGCATCGCGGTATGCAGTATGTCCTGATGTTCCTGGCTCTGCCCTGCAATTATCTTCAAGACTTGTATGGCTGTGAATCTTAGGTCATGTGATGGAGACCCCAAGCAGCGCATTAGTGTTCGCTTCAGAGGTTCCATGTGAGAGCCGGTAATGTCGACTTTGGTCTTTTCCCGCTCCAATAAGCGCAGGAATGCGCGCCAGAAAGCTAGAGAATGGCCATATACAGGAGATGCTTGACACAACGCAGGCCATAAACTTGTCGTCAAGTCATCACTGTCGCCTTTACTGATGAGGGCCTGAAACCCGTTGCCGGTGGCAAATATGTCTACAGTTTGTCGGGGCTTTGCGCTGTCGGTGTCTAAGGCGTTCTTGAGTAGCTCTGCAAGGTCGGTCATTATTCCGTGGGTCTTATCGTTTCCTAGACGCAGCGTATCTACAGCGAATAGCAAAGCATTGCAGTAAAATGTTTCGTAATCTGAATCGACATCGCCGCGTACAGACTCAAGAAGCTTGTCGAACGGTTCGTGTACGGTCACTTGCCATTGATCAGAAGCCTGTAGATCGACTTTCGCCAGCGCGCTGTTGTCGTTGTTGTCGCGCTTGTAGTAAAGTCGAGGGAGGATAGCGCAAAATTGTGATCCGTGCTCGTGTGCCTTCTGCGCGATGAACCTCTTGAAATAAGGAAGTAGCAACGTCCTGAATCTCTCCACCCCTAGGTCAGCAAAGAGATTGCAGAAGGGTAAGAAGTATGATTCCCAGGGGCCGCGGGTAAGCCCTTCGAGCAATTTTCCGTATGGTGTCGCTGCGCCAAGAGGACAGTATTGGAACACAACAGAGACGACCGACAAAAGCTCCCACGCATCAACGGAATCGAGAGTGGATGATTCCTTGGTTGAGTTCAGCAAATGATTGACCAAGCTCAGCACGGGTTGCCAGTCATCGACACGATCACCTTGTCGCACACCACAAGCGACTAGCAGCAGACGAGACGAAAGGCCCATGTAACGCGTATCGGAAGATGTCTTATCGATCTGTGCGAGAATCACTTCGAGGAGTGGCGCGAAGTTTTCTGCGTCGGTATGATGGATAGCAGCGGTGATGACGCCAGTCACCACGGGCTCCAGAGGCGGGATGCGGAGTTGGACGTGCTCTTCGTTGTAGGTCTCTGCTAAAAGCTCCTGTAGTATGGCCGTCGCGCTCGAGTGGAATCCGCGTTGTACACCCTTGAGCGAGTCGGTCAACAGGTACATGAGACCCTGCTGGAACGCGTAGTCCTTGCCCGACTCTTGCTGGTCCTTCAGCTGGTCCGATATGTGCTTGATGATTGTCCGGAGAGGCATCTTGTCGCGGTGGTAGCCGGCGCCGGCTTTGCGGACTAGGAAGCTGAGCGATTCGGCGGCGAAACGGGAGACGAAGGCTTTCTGGCGCTCTTTGCCCAGCAGAGGCGACATGAGATCGAAGACCGGGCGCAGGTTGGGGACTAAGAGGCGCGAGAGGTACTTGAACAGCCATGCGAGACAGCCAAAAGCCCACTCTATGACCTCGACATCAGCATGTGTGGCTGCCAGATGCGACACCGTCGTGACTGCCTTTTCAAAGTACTTCTCGAACCGCTCGCCCATGTCGTGTGCCAGATGCGCCGTGAGACTGAGCAACGGTTCTTGGCTGAACTTCTCGCCCTTCTCGATGTATTCTACGAGCAGGTCGAATATGCGGTCGCTGTGGTGGAGGACCTGGGGGAGGCTGTCGCATAGTGGCGCGACCTTGCGGGCGAAGGTGGTGAAGCCCTCGGACATGTTGAGCTCCCGCCACTCATTGAACGAGTCGCGGAAGTAGGAGAAGGTGGATTCGAGTTCGGCGTCGTCGAGGAAGGTGCTGCGACCGCGGCGGATGGGTTCGATCTTGAGCTGGGCAATGCGCTGGGTGAAGCCTTTGAAGACATGGTTGCGCGTCGATTCGGTGCCGCCCTTGACCCGTTTCTGGGGGCGCGCTGATTTGGCGACCTTGGATTTGGGCTTTGCAGCCGGCTTCGCGGTTTGGCCTCTCGACATGGCGGCCATGGTGTTGGGTGGAGTTGTGGTGGTGAGGGCTGCGGCTGTATCTTCACTCGATGATGCTCCACTAGAATTTCCTGGCGCTAACAAAAAAGCTGGACCCTGGCACCACCGAGGCCTCCGACGCGCCAATCACCCATACTCAACACCACGCGTCGCCAACATCAACCTATCGAAACAGTCACACCAGGCTACAGTAGCTGTCGAAATAAACGCGACTACACTAAGCTTATCAAGTAGCGAAAGTGCGCCTCTGATCGTCGCTACTTTTACCACCACATCGACGACCAGCTGCTTTCCTAGCTGCTGCGTTATCAGCAATGGCCTCTAAAATGTAAGTGAAATGCGCTATCATAATATTTGGCTGTTCTAACATGTGCAGCGTTGTCGTTGGCGCCGTGAACGGCCAATTCAAGACTGTCTTCCAGAAGCTGGGCGCTTTACACGCGAAGAACAACTTCGCTTTCGCCATTGTCGCAGGCGATCTCTTCGCAGGGTCAGTCGAAACTGAAAGCACAGATGCAGCCGATGTGCAGGCGCTCATTGACGGCAACATCGACGTACCATTGCCGACGTACTTTGCTCTTGGCAATCATCCCCTACCACCAGCAGTCGTCCAGAAATTGGAATCATCAAGTGACGAGCTATGCCACAACCTCTTCTTCCTCGGCAAGCGGACGACTATGAAGACATCGGAAGGCATTCGCATCGTTTCCCTAGGTGGACAGCTTGACCCCAACATTGTCGCCGGCCAATCTAAAGACAAGTACCCGCCCTTCTACAGCGAGACGGATGCGAAGGTATTACGAGGCGCAACCACAGCAGATATCCTCGTCACCAACGAGTGGCCAGAGGGCATTCAGAAGCGTTCCAAGGTTGAGTTCAATTCTGAAGTAAAACCGACAGCGCGACAGTGTATCGCCGACCTGGACGTAATACTCAAGCCCAAATACCACTTCTCCACATCGGGCAGCAACTTCTACGAGCGAGAACCATTCTTCCATGCGCCTAGCGACGAAACCGACAGCCTCTACCCTGTGACCCGATTCATCAGTCTGGCTTCGTTTGGCAACCCAAACAAGCAGAAATGGATATACGCCTTCTCTCTCGAGCCATCGGCCAGCCATCCAGTCTCGCCGCCAGCTGGCTCTACTGCTTGCCCTGTGATACTCTCGGAGAAGAAGCGACTTGCGCCAGAGCACCGCGAACAGCATCTCGTCTATGATGATGGGAATCGCGGCCGAAGAGGCAACAAGAGGCGCAAGGGTGAATTCCGAGGGCCCATCACAGCCTCAGAGTGTTTCTTTTGTCTGGCAAACGAGAACATCGCGACCCATCTAGTGACTTCAATCGGCGAGAATTCTTACCTGACCACGGCCAAAGGACCCCTCCCGACTTCGCACACATACCCAAAACTTGGCTTCCCCAGCCACATGCTCATCATCCCCTTCACACATCAGCCAACGCTCGGCTCTATGGAAGAAGAGGAACGACACGCAACCTACGCAGAGATGCAACGCTACCGACGCGCCATGAACAGCATGCTCAAGTCTGTCGCGGAGACCGAATACGGCTCCGTCACATGGGAAGCCAGTAAATCGAGCTTACCACATACCCATTGGCAATATCTCCCAGTGAGCGCGGATCTCATCAGCAAAGGGCTTGTCGAGGCTGCTTTCAAGGCGCTAGCAGAGAACCTACACTGGCCGAAGTTTGAGAAGGAAGATGTTGAAGACGGATTCGAAGAAACGAGCGACTTCTTCAGAGTCCTGGTATGGAACCCAAAAGATGATCCTGAAAAGCAGACAAGCTACGTCATGCGATTTGATGAGAAGATACGCTTCCACAACCAGTTCGGACGCGAAGTATTGGCAAAACTGTTGAGGCTCGACAATCGCGTTGACTGGAAGAACTGCGGGCAAACGCAGGCCCAGGAAGAGCAGGACGTTGAGAAGTTCAAAGAAGCGTTCAAGGATTTCGATTTCGCCGCTTGATACCCATAGTTCTTGGTTTGCACATTTTACCCTTAAACCCAAAACCGACCACACAGGCACCCATCGACCATTCCGCCTACGAGTACGAGCCATCCAAGAGGAGGAGAGAAGACTCTGGCTATATCCTGCCTACCAACTTGGGCTCTGACCCCCCGCCTCTTCCATCGTACCCAAATAGCATGAATTTGTACGCATAAGTATCGATTAATATGACAATGACCGACATAGACACTGGGGTACATCTGAGCGTTTTACGGCCTTTGTGATAGTAATGTGGTTCTCACGTAACCTCCACTTCGGGATCGACTCATGAGCCAAGTCTCCAAGGCCCGACGTCGCTGCGAACATACTCGAAACGGCAGTTCTGGCAGGAAGGTGTCCAACGCAGCACTAAAGATTGGCATACCAAGCTCCGGTCTCGCCAGGCTTATTCCCGAGCTGCCGAAATGTCTCATGTCCGTCGACACTCGTCGCGCAACTTTCAATGTATTGAACAGCTTTCACTTCATAGCATCAGCTCGAAAATCAAAACTCGTGTATTCCAGGTTTTACGCCATTCAGACAGCACTTCACCATTCTTGGCTTGGCACTTCCTCTTGAGGCTAACGGCTTTCTTCTTCCAGCCAAGACCGACGCTTGGCCTCACGTGTCAGCTGAGATAGGCTAGCGTCTGGCTTCTCTCGGCGTTTCGGGAACGGAGGGCAGCTGCACCCGGCGTCGAAGAACAGCCGTGCTCACTCTCGCTGGAAAATCTGCCGAGCCCCGCTGAAACTCATTTCCCAACTTCGCGACTGCTCAAGAGGCCGGGCTCCGGAAGGCGCACGCTCCGTAGCGCATTGAAAAAACGTTACAGCGTAAAAGAAGACTATGCCTAGGCTATAACATGTTCTTATTTGCGCGCTTATCTTATAATAATCTAATTATAATAACTTTAATAGTATTTTAAGTAGTTAAGTATATAATAACTATAATTTACTAATAACTAATTTTAAGCTAGTATATTTTTATATATATTTATAGTATAGTAATAAGTCTTTAAAATAACTTTATAATAGTAAAACTATAGTTAAAGTTTAAGTATATAAAGTACTATTACTACTTATTTAAGTTATATTATAATAACTTTATTTAAACTTTTTATTAATATAGCTATAAAATACTATAATAGTATAAAACTTAGCTATAACTAACTATACTAGTTACTAAAAGTAAAATTTTTACTAAACTTTTAATTACTAAAAGTATAAAAAATAATTTAAAAAGTTTAAAAACTTTATAAAAACTTAAAAAAAAGTAAAACTATTAAGCTAATTATTATAATATTTAAAAAAATTAGTTTATATAAAGTAAGTAAAGTAGTAATAATAAAGCTTATTAATAGTATATAAATAAAAATTATAAAAGTATTAACTTTATTTAGCTAAAAATTAACGCTTTAAATAAGCTACTTATAAAGTATATTACTAGTACTCTTAGTAATACTAAAAAAGTATAGCTTACGTATATATAAAAAAAGAAGAGTAGAATTAGTATAGTAATTATAGCTAGTTATAATATATACTTAAAGTAAGCTAGCGTAGCTAGTAAGTATAAGTTAGTAAAAATAATAGAATACTAAGATAAAATTATAAAAGAAAACTTACTTAGAGACTAGCGTTTTAGTAATAAAATTACGTTAAAACATTAGAAACATTAGAGCTAGGCCGTGACAGCAACGTCTAATGTCGAATTGTAGGGAAACCTGGTACGGACATAGGAGCTTTACTACAAAAATGAGATCAATAGCCACCTGTGGCATCAATTCGCACATCTAACCTTCCCTCACCACACTTCCCTTCATGTCTGCACGACCGTACCATTTGCGCACCAACAGGCTATCCAGTCCGCTTGGAATCGATGCATTTCCCGTGGAATTCAGTTGGCAGCTAACAGCTAAGGAAGGCATTCATAATGTCACACAATCGTCCTATGAACTTCAAGTCTCTACATCTCCAGCCTTCGAATTCGGAAACATCGTTTGGGACAGCGGGAAGACAGCCACAAGCAAGATTCCGTCACTTACCGCCATCTACGCAGGCGAAAGTGTGACAAGTCGCACTCGGTATCATTGGCGCCTCCGCGTATGGGATCAAACCGACCAGCCCAGCGACAAGATCTGGGACACAGCCGAGCAAGCATGGTTCGAGACAGGGCTTCTGGAGCCATCCGACTGGAAAGCGTCCTGGATCAGCGCTCCTGTAATGACATCAACCGGGAATTCAGTAAAAGATGGCAGAGTCATATACCTCTCTAGCATCTTGCAGCTCGCACGAGAGCCAGCCCGAGGACGAGCTTACGCCACGGCTTGCGGATGGTACAAGCTTTTCGTCAATGGAAACAACGTCACCGGCACGGCGTTGGTACCACGCTGGACGCCTTTTGATCAGTTCACCGAGTACCAGACTTACGACATTGCGAAGTATCTGGAGGCTGGCAAGAATGTGATCAGCGTCGTTGTTGCGGATGGGCGATTCAAAGGTCAGATCGGCGTCACCGAAGGGCGCTGTCGCTACGGAGACCGGCTTTCTGCGCTCGTACAGCTTGAGGTGGATACAGGTGACGCGAAAACTGTTACATTCTGTACCGACGAGACATGGCGGTGTACAAAAGGCTCCATCGTTCGATCAGACCCCGTGTGGGGTGAACATACCGACTTCCGGATCGCTGACGAGTGGCTGGAGAAATGCGATACTGAGTCTTCGGATCGTGCCGAAAAGGTCCAGGTCTTGACGAAGAAGCTAATTGCAGAAGAGGTCGAACGCGTCGAAGACGTCATGCGCTTGCCACCCAAGACCGTAAATCGTACCCCGTCAGGCGCACAAATAGTCGACTTTGGACAAAACTTTGCCGGCATTATGGGAATCAAGCTCCGCGGTCGGGCGGGCTCCAGAATCACCATGACCTACAGTGAAGTCTTGTCTGGCGACGGAGAGCTTGATATCAACTACCTGAAACTTCCCATAGTTCCGCATATCGTACAACGGGACGTCGTAACCCTTGGAGACAACGAAGCTGAGTTCCAGCCTTGGTTCGCCATCCATGGATTTCGTTACGCCGAAGTTCGAGGCTTGGACTACGATCTTAGCCCCGCTGACGTCCAAGGAATCGTGATCGCTTCCAACATCCCAGCTACAGGATCCTTCACCTGCTCAGACGCCCGCCTAAACAAGCTCTATCAAAACATTGTTTGGACTACCCGAGGCAATTTCACTGACACACCGACTGACTGTCCGACTCGAGAGCGAATGGGTTGGACGGGAGACATCCAAGTCTTCACTCCTACTGCAACCATGCTATTCGACTGTCAGACCTTCTTGCGTCGGTATATGCGTTGTCTAGCTGCGGAACAACTTGCCGACGGCAGCATCCCGTCATACATCCCCAGTGCTGGTTCACAGTTCAGCACCCAGCTTTCACTCACCACGAAGTTGATGTCAGGATCAACTGGATGGGGCGATGCTTCTACAATGGTGCCTTGGGCTCTTTACCAGCACTACAACGATAACGTAATCCTCTCGCGCCAGTACGACAGCATGAAGAGCTGGGTGGATAGCTTGACCCATCGAGCACGAGACAAGATGAGCTGGAGAAGATGGTTCTGGTCCAAACTCGGCGCTGGATGTGGCGACCTCGAGCAGTACATCTTGGACACTAGCTTCAGCTATGGCGAGTGGCTCCGTGTCGGAAGCGGTGTTCCCACGATCATCAAGGACGTCTTGTTTCCCAGCGCCGCTATTTCCACTGCTTACCTCGCACACTCATCTCGTCTGCTCTCCAACATCGCCAAAATTCTTGGCAAAGAGGACGACGCTGAGCATTACCTCAACATCTCGGAAAAGACATGTGAAGCATGGCGCGCTGCTTTTGTCCGACAGAACGGTGCGCGCATCGCATCCGACTACCAAGACGACTACCTCCGCGCCCTAGCCTTCAACCTCATCTTACCAGAGCAAAAGCCCGCAGCTCTCGAACGCCTCGTAGAACTGATGGCGCAAGCTGGCTACCACCTAAAAACCGGCTTCATGAGCACCGGACTGCTCCTCCCCGTACTTGCCCAACATGGCAGAGCAGACATTGCATACCGCGTCCTACTCCAAGACACCGTACCATCCTGGCTCTACCCCATCACAAAAGACGCAACAACGCTATGGGAGACATGGGAAGGCTACGACAGCAAAGGCAACGCGAAGATGTCGCATAATCACTATGCGTTTGGCAGTGTGGCATCGTGGTTGCAGGAGAGTGTGGCGGGGCTGAAGGCTGTTGAGCCTGGGTATAGAAAGATTAGGGTTGAGCCGCTGGTTGGGGGTGGGTTAGAGTATGCTGAGGCGACGCTAGAGACGCCGTTGGGGTTTGCGAAGAGTGCTTGGAGGGTGGATGGGGAGAAGGGGGTGGTGAGGCTTAAGGTTGTGATTCCGCCTTGTGCGACGGCGGAGGTGGTGTTGGAGGGCGGAAAGGTTGAGACTGTGGGATCTGGCACGTATGTTTTCGAGTATAAAGTGAATTCATAGCGGTCTGGCTCGAGGATATGGTACTCTGGATACCTAGGTACTCATTCGGGATCACGTGCATCCGAGGGGTTCCGGCCGCCAAGACAGGGGGCGCAGAACACCGAAACTCAGTAATCACTCCCCCAAACCATCTCAACTCTTCTGCACTTCCATCCTCACGTTTACTATTCCTTATCACCCATTCGCTCTCCCTCACAACCCCAAAAGGGATAACGCGCCGAACCGCAGGAAGCGCCGGTACGTTGTCGGAGGTTTCATATCGAGCCCCAATCAAGATGACGATCATCGCCCATGCCAATGCGCCCCGCCACCTATCACACCCCGCGATAAGAGCACCTGCGATCATCCGCGACTTTGCTTGCTACACAAGTCATCTTACCTCCTTCCAGTCAGGTCTACGCTACTATGCAGGTAGGTCGGCGCCGCGCTCCTTAGTAGGAAGGCAAACCACTCGTTGTGTGTCGCGGGCTTGTAAGCACGGCTGATCAGGTACACATCCCCAATGGGGGGTATGATGGGCGTGGTGTCGGTGACTTGGCCGTTACCTCCACCTGCCTCTTTCGGGGTCGTGAGAAGAGTAGCGCATTGGAATAGTATGCTGTGTGATGCGAAGACGGGGTGAGCGGTGCAAAAGCAAGGGCAAAGGGGTTTGGCAGGCGCGTGGTGCTTATCATTGGAAGAGACGATGTCCGAAGTATAACGCGCCGACTACGGCGAGGGAGAGGTAGAGTATATAACCGCCTGAGAATCTGTGTTGTAACGAAGGATAAGTCAGAGATCATCAAGCAGCTCTACTTCGCAGCATAGCCTCCTCTCTCTCACAATAGCAAAGCCGCCACCCTTCCATCTCATCACCATGAAGGCCTCCATCTTCGTCGCTGTGGCCTCAGCCGCCCTCGTCTCCGCTGCCCCAACACCAGCCGTCCTCGATGCTCGCGCTCCCCCCAACATCCCCAGCAAATCCGCTGCTACCACACAGCTCGCTGGTCTCACTGTCGCCGCCCAAGGCCCACAAACTGGTTACTCCCGTGATCTCTTCCCCCACTGGATCACTCAGTCTGGAGCCTGCAACACACGCGAGGAGGTCCTCAAGCGCGACGGCACGAATGTCGTAACTAGCAGTGCATGCGCCGCAACCTCTGGATCGTGGTTCAGCCCCTACGACGGCGCTACATGGACCGCAGCCAGCGACGTCGACATCGACCACATGGTGCCATTGAGCAATGCCTGGAAGGTGCGTTTCCCTCCCCATCTCCTACCCTCCCATCTTCCCCTCTCCAAACTCCATATACTAACTCCCAAACAGTCCGGCGCAGCATCATGGACCACAGCCCGCCGTCAAGCCTTCGCCAACGACCTCACAAACCCCCAGCTCCTCGCCGTAACCGACAATGTGAACCAAGCGAAGGGTGACAAGGGCCCCGAGGAGTGGAAGCCCCCGCTAACCAGCTACTACTGCACGTACAGCAAGATGTGGATTAAGGTCAAGAGCGTGTATGCGCTTACTATTACGAGTGCGGAGAAGAGTGCGCTTACTAGTATGTTGGCTACTTGCTCGTCGTAGAGAGATGTTGGAAAGAGTGTGTATATACGAATTCATGTTTATATTTTCAGACTGCTTGATCTAAGTTCTGCTGCTTGTGTGCTATGCTGAGGACGGGTCAAAGCACGTTGTGTAAACTTTGGAGTGTGCTGATGATGTAGCCTTATTGCGTTATGGCGACGCGTCGAGACCGGAGTGAGATGGGTCTGAAATCCTGTGGTAATTCTCTAGGCACCCGCAATCGACGGTTTTCAGGAAATTGCCTGATTCGGAGGTGAAAGTGATGTGACGCTAGCTAGATGAGCTCTAGTGGCTTGGCGGCTGCATATCGCAAACTCGGATTTGCACGCATGTCGAGCTGCACGCTGTCATCTGCAACAAAACTCGATTTTTGTATTAATTTTGTTTTCTCCAATTTTGAAGCATGACGCATCCATTCACATTTGATAATACATATCGGTCACGCAATTTGGCAAGGATGTGTTGAGATGATTTATTCGTCGTCTCTGCTCGTGACCCTAGGGTATGGAGGGCACGCATTACTCCATCGACTACATCTTTCCTAACAACAGAAGACAGCAAGCGCCAAATGACGTATTGCTTCCGCAGACTCAATAACTTCGCCGTGGTAGGCGCGTCTCCATCTACGAGTCGTCGCCGATATCGACGACGGTCTTCTTCCACTTGCGGGCGGGAACCTTGCGCTTGAACAGAATGTCGATCTCGCGGTAAGAGCGGCCCTTCATCTCGGGGAGGAAGAAGTATGCGACGACGAAGCAGAAGAAACCGGTACCGGCCCAGACGTAACCGCACTTGCCGCCAAGGTTTGCCTCCTGGAATGTTCGTTAGCAAGATGTTCATTGTGACAATCGAAAAGAGAGAAAACTCACGTCGGGGTTAAGCATGTAACTGGCGAGGAAAATGCAAGGAATGTTGACAACGTAGTAAGCACCACGTCCGATACCGGTAGTGAGGGGCCTGAGACGAATGGACGAGGTTTCTCCAATAATGACCCAGGAAGCGGGCGCCGGTCCGAGAGTGAACAGAACGGAGACAATCAGACCCAGAGAAGCCTGGGCAAGAGAAGCTGCGTTGGAGACACCGACGGAAGCGGCGATACCGAGAGCGACGAGGAAACCGACGTTGATGAGAGATCCCCAGACGTAGATAGTGCGGCGGCCGAGGTAGGTGGTGAGAATCCAGGAAAGCATGACGAAGATCATCTGGAGAGCGGAGGTAATAAGACCAAGGGCGAAAGCGGTGTTGACCGAGATACCAGCTTGACGGAAGAAGTAGACGGCCTGGTTGGCGATGAGGTTACCAGTCAAGTTCTGGGCAGCGTAAACACCGCAGACGATGAGAGTACGGTAGCGGTCGGTGCCCTTGAACAGCTCCAAAAGACTGGGCTCCTTGATGGACTTCTCGAGATCGATGGTACGGCGCATCATAGCGACGGCCTCGCTGAGGTTGAGCTGGCCCTTGCGTCCAAGACGACCGACGGCCTTCTCAGCTTGCTCAAGCTTGCCCTTGCGTACCAACCACCAGGGAGACTCTGGCGCCAGGTAGATGAGGATAGCGAGAGGAGTGGGGAACATCCATTGAAGCGCAATGGGGATTCTGTAGGCGCTTGCGTCGGGCTTGGGGTTGTAGTAGTACGCGACACCGTTGACGATGATGGCACCGATAGCCCAGAACATTTGCAGCATCTGAGTAGCCGGGGCACGGAGCTGGATAGGTGTAATCTCAGAGCAGTACGCGGGAGCGTTGGCAATGAAGATGCCCCACGGGACACCCTCGAGAAGCTGGGAGACGAACATGATTGGGAGCGAGTTGGCGAAGTAGAAAACGAAGATGAAGCAGTTGAGAAGCATCAGACCGGAAATGGTCGCCCATCGGTATCCGATGCGGCTGGTGAGAGGACCAGCCAGGCATACACCGATAATGGCACCAACGGGCCCTCCCATCTGAAGCGCTGATTGCCAGCTAGCCGCGATAATCTTGCCGTGTGGTCGGTCGGGGTCCGGGTGTGTGAGCGGGATACCGAATTCCTTCTCGAATGCGGGCAGAGCGATGAAGTTACCCATCAGGAAGACACAGTAAGCCTCCATGATCTGGAATGATTTGTTAGCAACCGCATCTTAATTTTGAGGGATTTGAGCGAGGAGCTTACAATAGTGCAAGACATGATGAACGCCCAGAGAGCAGCCATAGGGTAGGCCTTAACAGCCTGTACGACACCCATGTCATGCTCAGCAGTCTCAGCGTCCATAGCCTGCGTCTTGAACATAGCAGCCTGAGCCTTCTCGTCAAGCGCGACCGAGTCGTCGACATGCGAGATGGCCTTCTCGACGTGCACATCGCCGCCATATTCCTTAGGGACGTCACCCATCTTTGCGAAAGGGCTCTTGCCGGGGTATAACAAGAAAAAAAAGGACGAGGGGTATCAGATCAGAGAAAGGAACTCTGGGCTGGCAAAGAAGACAAAAGGATAAACCGGGGAAACGTCTCCACCTTATAAACAGCACGGGGTGCGCACACTCAACGCGGGGCGGCTTAAATGTGACCTTGCAGCAACGGCATTTAGGCATGGTTAGCCATCTGGTGTACAGTAGTCACCCCCGGGGCGCGCTTGAACCATCCACCCACCCCTCCACATCTCCGAGCGTGCATTGTCTAATTCCCCAGAAAGATGGAAAATCCGTCGCTGGCGACTGGTGGGTCCGCCGTCAGCGCTATGTGCACATGGAAGGAATGCACGAGACAGATTCCATCAATCACGGCTTCTGGCTATCAAGCTGGTTCCTTGCGCCGTCTGCGCAAGGGCCTCCAAGCCGTGCGAGGCGGCTGTCACGACAGAGTCGTGCTGTGTCGCTACGCTGGCCTAGCAGCGGACCGCTCACCAGATGTATCCATAGCGCTGCGTGTTGGTTTGCAGGTGGCTGTTTCTTGTCTGCTCTAGACTTCGTATTGCTGGTTGCTCGTCACCTATCAGAACTGTCGATGCAAAGCTTTGTTCCGGTGCTAAAATACGCGCGCTAATATCCCCGCACCGCGACAGGCTTGTACGCTTGTTAACTGGAGTAGACCCGTTATTTATCCGTGGGCTCCCCAGATGGGTTGCCCTGCTGCTCCAGGAAATTTTTGGGTCTCTCCACTCGTTTTCTCCACGCTGGGGGGCTAGGGTGAGCACGAAGGGTCTGAGTTACACGGCATCTGCGAGTTCCACTGATATGAGCCGTCTGACCACCCCGTTAGATCTCGCTACCATGAGTATCGGATATGCCTCTACTCTTTAGGACCTCCACTTCGTGTCCAATGGCGCTGTTCATCCCGCCACTCTTCCTTCCCGCCCCATGGGGAGCTGTGGGAGCGGTATTGAATTACGTCGCGGTAGTGATAGCCCGAGAACACCGCACTCATTTAACCCCAGATACGGAACTCTGCCGGTGCAGGCGGGCGGATTGCAGAGTTGAGCCTGGTGTCTTCCTCTACGAGCTAGCCGTGGCGTGATGCTAATAAGTCTTGAAAACGTCCGCTGACGCGGAGCCGCCGCATGTGCGCAGATGGCCGCTACTACCACCGCTAGTACTTGACACGTGAAGAACCGCACGAGGTAAATGGGATAGGTACCGTGGTTTATCTGATGGATGACTGATCTTGGGTCCTTGCGCATATTTCGCTGCAGCGCGGGGGGATGTGACCGAGGCAAGGGAAGGTGGGTACGTTGCTTGGGACTGCGTGATGATGCTGCTGTTAGACCTGGAGCCAGGACCTTGGGAATTGACAGGCGCGCTCGACGTCTCCGACGCAGCGGCACAGTTTGGCGGGTATGCTGCGTGGCTTCCACGTTCCGACTTGGTGACTGACATCTGTCGGACTGGGTCGCTTGAGGAAAACTTATTCTACATGAGTTGAGCTATCGTCGTGCAGTGTAGTACTTGGAGTCGCTTCAGCACATGGTGCGCGTAACAACGCGATTGCTATGGGCGTGCCCCTCCGCGCCTGGGTATCTCGATGCCACGCAGTCAGTACTGCTGAACATGCCAGTACACGATCTTTTGCATAAGTCTGCGAAGAACAAGGGACCGGTACAAAGATTGATCAGCGCAAACGGCCCAATACATTGGGTCGTACCAGCCGTATTCCATAGCCGTTCTTTCAATGTTCATGATGCACATGACCCGTTCCGAGGTTGCTTTCGTACTGATTCGGCACCAGTGCCACAAGCGCATATGCTGAATCAGTAGCTCGAAAAACGAATTCCCACCCACTGTTGCGAGCGCAACTGTACCACGCATCACCACAAGATTCGAGTTCCATCTTTCCTTGCCTACATGGAAAGCAAATAGCGGGCAACGGTGCGCAGTCCGGCTCTCGGCACACCCAGGGTTCGCAGATCAGATGTCAACTCGGCCAACATTGCACACTCCATACATGGCGTATGTACTCGAGCCAATCCAAGCCGGCGGGCGCCGTGCTCTTACGACCGGGAGTATGCAGGGCGCCTGAGATGTGACGGGTTTGCGCACAACGGAAGGTTGGTGGCGTTGACATCACGGCTCAAAGAAGTAGAGCATCCTGTCTGCAGCTGCCCAGATGGTGGAAATGACCTAAGCGATATGTCCATGGACTCAATACTTGTTAGCGAATCTCACCGGATGATAGGATACGATTGGAATGAGATGCGCACGGAAGCCCTTGAAGACGAAGAGAAGATGACAAGATGACGATCGAGTAAGCTTTCGCACATGCGGATGCGGCGCACACACCCGTGGACCTGACGGACCTGAGTGCTCGCGAGCGCCTCATGACGGACCTGCGTGGTTGCTTCTCAAGACCTCACGCAGCTACTTCGGGACTCAGTCTAGGACTTTGAGCCGCAACACGGAACAATTAATGCGTAGTATACACACGCGAAAGGATGCCGGCACTATTGCTGTAGTCATTTTTGATTGAGCTCAACACAGCGCCATCGCTAAAGTCAAGACCCAGGAAATGGTACTCCTCGTCGAGAATTCGCATTTTGTCCTGGAAGCTATCCTTCCCTCACGAAAAACTCCGATCACCCGTTTCACAGCGTGCATTCTCAAAAATGAACTCTCACGAGTTGGAGGAGACGGACAGTAGTTATGATGGCAAGCAGATTTCGCGCTCCCATCGTCCATGTGTGCTACTACTAAGCAGCATGCCGCGCGCCCAGCAGTTGCTTAGGCGTCTTTCCATCCTCGTCCTTCGAGTTTATGCGTGCGCCATGTTCCTCTAGCAGTTTCATGGCATCGACTTTGCCAGTCCAAGCGGCGAAATGCATCGGCGTCCTACCCTTCCAGCCCGGAACAACCTCCTCCACATCTGCGCCATGCTTTATCAGCAGTCGCATAGTATCGAGCTGACCGAAGCTTGCAGCGGTATGCAACGCAGCAGTACCCGCTATAGGCGTACCGCGCTCCAACAGCATCTCAGTCGTGCGCGGACCCTCATTCATGGCAGCGAAAGACATCAGAGACGAGCGGAAGTTTCCGAGTTTCCTGTAGCCCGGCGCAACGGGATGCAACGGATCTGCTCCAAGTTCGAGCAACGCGGCAGCTACATCTGGTTTCCTTCGCCTCACGGCCTCGTAGAGTGGCCGCTGGTGGCCGTGGCCGATGCGGATCTCGATGACCTTCGGGTAGGCGGCGCCTAGTGCCTGGATGACAGCGGCGTGGCCACCGTCGATGGCCTTGTTGACGACATCTCTATCCATGATATCGGAGAGGGAAAGGTCAAGCTCTGTTGCAAAAGCAAGTAGTGCGGTCACAACAGCAGCGTGGCCATTCTGAGCCGCTACCATCAAGGCCCGCTCAAGATTTGGAATTGGCCTTGCCATAACTTTCCCACGTGGATCTTTACTATAGATGGTGTGTGGTTTACTGAGCATCGTCGTGATGTGTTGTGGCTGTGATAGCAGACTCCATAAGGCCGCGTCGTCGCCAGACGAGCATGTTTCGATGAGACGGCGAGCGTCGTCTTGCCCTACGAGTACATCGCCTACATCTCTGGATGAGGTGTAGCCGGCGGGCAAGTCCTTTAGATCTGCCATGGTCGGTTCCGCCATAGCTGCGTCGTAATGGAGGTAATGGTGATGGTGATGGTGATGAAAATAGTAGTGGTTGTGCCGATGGAGGCCGAGGAGATGAGAAGAGGTGTTGAGTGCGATTGCAGTAGCTGCAAACGGGACAAAAGGCGTGAATGTAGCGAGTGTAAGTTAAGTAACTAGGACGCAGTAGAAGTTCTAAATAATTTAAGTTATATATTAGATTGTAGTAGCTAAAGGGCTGAGGGAAAAAGGGCTGAGAGAGGAGTGTGGTGCCGAGGAGATGAAGTGTCCGCAGGCAGGCGAGGGCTTGCGTAAATTTATTTCATGTCAACGCCATCAAAAACTTCGAGTATCGTGTCTTTCAGTGATGAAGACAAAGGTGCAGGTGCGACACAGGTGAACGTGAAGTTCTAACCTGTGTTAGGCAGCCGCACTTAGAAGGTGGGGTCTAGCGCCCGGGCGTCAACAAAGGTACATAAGTAGCCCCCATCTGGGATTTAATGTACAGCCATGCAACTTGGCTGGCTATAACACTATACTGTAGAAAGAACAGATCGTGGGTTACTTGTTGCCGATGGTCTTGAAATAGTCGGGCGTTGAGCGCAAGGCTGAGTTGGGGGCCTACTCCAACGATCCTTCCCCTCCAACTTTAGTAGGACAGCGGCCATGGAGGATCCTTCCGCCCCAAGATGACGTCTACGCCTGCTGGGTACGAAGGCCACCATACAGTATGTTCTCTACGAAGCTTTTTGCACATGATCCAAAATTGAATGACTTCGTGAGTATAGACACCGATGTGGAAGTGGTTCAGCTCCTTCCCAGCCGTCAACTTCAACACCCCTATACTCATACTTTCCAGTCGAGTATCATGATCCAGGTCATGGCCACGGAAGACGCAGATGGGAAGCTGACTTGGAAGAATGGCTTCAAAGAGGGTGACTTGAACGCTTCTAGCACCTACGACGTGTGCGCATCCGATGGCACGGAATGCGACGTACCTGAACCCAACAAAAACACCCAGCAAGACAGATGCCTTCGTCACAACCCATGTATTCCTAGCGATCTTCGCGCGCCCAAAACGCTGCGGCGGCTCAGGCGGATTTTGCTTTTCCGCTGACTGGAGCTGGCGTGCGCAGCCGCTCGTCCCGAAAAAATACCCCAAGCCCGGATCAGAGCCACGCAACGATGCCAGTGTCGTATACGAAAGCATATGGCGTGAACAGCGCGTCGTGTAGCGGGGTATCATCGTGGTGTATGGTCAAAGGCGATGCCCTGATACGGAACGAAGAACTCCTCCAGCGACACTTCGACGCACCATTCGACATGGTACAGACGAAGAAGCGGTTGAAGGTTCAGACATACCTCCCTGCTATGACGCGGTTCTTGTTCAATAGCCCCGGCCGGTACAAAGCCCAGCAAAGGCATGGCCCTCTCCATCGCCATGGTCACACACTACTCCGGCCACGGAACCTCCGTCAGCGTCAACCACGAGTGGAAGTTCTACACCACCAGCGTTGGCAAAGCCGTGGGCAGTTGCGGTGAGACTGACGGCAAGGAAATCGTTGCGGATACCGATGAGACGCCTCGTCCTGGTTCCGATAGCAAGGCGCCGTTCCCTGGTGGTGTCTTTAAGCTGGATATTGAGGGTGAGGCGTGCACGTACAAGTGCGATGGGAACAATCCGGGGAGGTTGTTCTGCCCGCAGAGGGAGATTGCTTGTCGCGAGGATTCGAAGAAAACTATGGAGGTTGGGGCGATGAAGTGCGGGAGGGATCAGTTCTTTGCTCCGAGTGTGTTTTGCGATTTCTGAGGAGTTTCAGGCACGTCAACCCAGGAAAAAAAAACTAGACGTTTAGCAGCCTACATTAGCATGGAAACATGCGAAGTAGGTAATCTAACGTTGATGTAGGCTCTAGGCCTGTTCGGTTCTTGTTATGCATAAGGTGGAGGTAGCATGGAGACGAGTCTTGTATTGTAGTATGTTGTTGTGCCTATGTCGACGGAGGTTTGGGTTTGGGAGGCCCAAAACTGTCCTGAAGGTGCTGCTCTAGGAATGAATTATCTACAGTGAACGATGTAGAGTCATACATGATAGCTGCGAGGGCAGTGCCATCAGTAAGCCAATCATCAATGAGTCGCAAATGGTGTGTAGCCGCAAGACTTTTGAGCTTCACGTGACAGTTTTGAAGTGGGACTCGCATTCGTCCAAATCCGATGCGTTACCCAGCACTTACCAAGCCCCAAGCCAAGCCGTAGGATGCAACGCCACGCATCCTTAGGCTGCGATCCTTCATGCCGTCGCGGATAACTCGGGACTATCAAACGAGGTCCACGGATGATCTCTTCCACAACTCTTTGTCCGGCCAAACACGTTCTGTTTCAGAACGCATGTTCGAGCGGGGAACTCAATGGAGAGGCACGAACCGGTGTGTGTGTATGCAGCAAGCACCTGGAAAGTATGTTTGAGATTCGGTATGCCTGGGCATCAGTAATCAGGGCAGTGATCTGGGATGAGAGGTGGTCGTGGAGTGTAGCGTCTGAGGTGAGATGATGCGTTGGTACCAGGATGGCGGGCGACGTATGGATCTCACACATCAAGGCTTGTCGTAAGCAAGTCCGCTATTCCAACACATCGCTTAGGTACGTGAGGCGGAGTACGTTGCTCATAGTGCGGAGTTGTGGACTGCACGAGCGAAGCGGCTGCTGCCACAGGCTCTGTATCACGTCCAACAAACTCGAAGTGACGGTCATATTGCTCATGCGTCATCTGAATGCGGAAATAGATGGAGATGGCTTCCAGAAGAGCAGGCCCGCGGTTCCATGTCGCGGGCAAATATCGATACACTATAGGCTCCTTGGCGCGGTTGAGTGCTTGGTATGGCGCTGTGGCACAGACGGAGCAAATGAGCAGGCAACAATAGATTGAGCAACTTGCATAATGGCACCGCGAAACCGGGTTCTCGGACTCGCAACGAATTCCCTCCATCAAGAGCGGCTCGACGCGCGGTGGTGAGGCGCTGTAAGGCATGCCGGCCCTGCACGGATAAACACACGCCGTCAGAGCGCCGGTCGTCGAGGAAAGGTTTGGGGACCTGGGGGAATCATCGGGCGCTATCGGACCAACAATTGCTTGGCCTACCTTAATTTTCCACCGGTTCCGGATGACCCCTCAAATCGTGGGCTAGGGGCTGCCACTATACGGTACGACGCTCCGATGGCGCAGTTCTGGACTTGCGGCTCAGAGCACGTGGGCTTGCGGTCGCTCCAGTGCTTCGCATTCGGCAGGTGCAGCAGCATGTGAAGACAGCTAGTGGACACGTTGCGTGTGGAAGCTGATCTGAAAGGATTGAGAATACGAGCAAACGGCCGATGGGGCGCTGCGACTCATCGCTGTGAGGGGTGTCTTTGGCGAGGACCAACCCAACACCGGGGATAGCAGCGGCAAGGAAATTATGCTTAAGTCTGCGCCAACCTTATCTGCAACCTTGCAGCTGTAAGCGAAAGACAGATTACTGAGCGCACGCAGATCGCCGTTTATTCATGCTCACAGTAATCTCGAAGAGAAGATGTCGGCCCGTAGAGACATATGACGGCTTTCCCTGCGACTCGTGCTGGTGATTGAAACGACGTAGCTGCCTGCAATCGCGAACCCATGATGTAAATATCCGGTATGTGGAGAAGCCAACGCTGGGCAGGCTTGACAAGTCGGATGACGCGGCTTCGACGGTGTGAGCTGATAAGACAAGCAGCGGGCGTTCTATGAACGTGGAGAAGGGCGGCCTTGGCCATCCATCGAAATAACAATCCTGTTTGCTACTTGGCAGGCTTGAGTGCGACTGATCCAATGGTTCCACCCGGAGGTTTACCTCTCTCGGGCAGCTGAGACGCCATGTTCCATGGCATCTTGCACAAGTGCTCGTCCGCAATCTACGGTCTTGGACGAGTCTTGACGAAGAAAGACGGTCTGGTGAACAAGGTGCTGCGCTGCCCACTTGGTAGGCAGCAGGGTCTTACGCAAAGTCGGGTCTCGTCATGGCGCAACACTGCCACGATGACAGTCAAGGGGCGGGAAGTCTCATGGCTCCGATGCTCAGCTCTTCTGTTCTGGAAGCGGAGAAGCGACGGCCCTGTGATACCGCCAGTGTGGGTAAGTCGGATCCTCGTGGCACGGTGGTAAGCTTAAACCGCAGGCACCAAGCTTAATCAAAGTGCTGGCCGAGCCTTTAAGCGAATGAGCTGAGAAGTTGCAAGCGCCGGATTACGTTGGTGTGGATCGGAGCGGATGTCTGATCCAGAGCGGAGTGTAGAGTCGGCTTGGTTGGCGGGCACAGTTTCCACGTATGCCACAAGTTTGCGGGCGGCCGTTAACTTGCGTGAGCAGACGGCACAGAAACTCTGCACTTAGCCGGAGCGTGTAGGGCATCCTTCGGGACTAGGACTAGGCAGGCTCCTTTGTCGCGCAGGTCAGTTGTTTGTCCGCTTCCAAGGGCGCCGAGAGCACGACAGGTGGAGATTTCTTAGGGGACCGAGGCCAAGCATGCCATGGCCTGCCACAATCTGAGGGCGACGCGAGCGTGGGTTGGTTTTGGGACGACACGGACTTTTGGAACGCCTTGGCTGTGCTTGGTGTGTTGCTGCTAGCGGGGGCCAAGCAGGACAAGACGGATTGACGGACTGATGGACCACACCGCGAAGTCTTGGGAGGTGTCAGCGCCGGGGTCCGAGTGGGGCTGCCAAGGGATCGAAGGCTTGTCGAAAATAAAGATTCGTTTAGAGTTATCCGGCTCGCAAAGCTTGGCTGGGCGAGCCAACGCCGCCAGGCGCTGCGTGGTGCTGGGCAT